ATGGAAGAGATAGTTTAAATTTGGTTACAGCTTTTTCTGATAAGCACCTGCTGAGATTAAATTTACTCTCAGTGACTGTGTAGTCATTTAATGTAAACTCAAAGGTTATTAAAAAATGATCGGACAGAATAGGAATTTGAGGAACTACTACTAAGTCCTTAATCTCTACACCATAGGTCAGAACTAAATCAAGAGTGTGATGATAAGAATGAGTAGATGTGCGGAAATGAGTCTATTAAATTATTAAAGGCTATGCTTAAGCTATAACTTTCAACATCTACATGAATATTGAAATCACCCATTATGATGACATTATCAGTATTTCATAGTAAGTCAGTTAAGAATTCTGAGAATTCGGACAAAAACTGAGAGTAAGCACCTGGTGGGCGATATATAACAACTACTAAAAGTGGCTTTTCTGATTTCCATTTTGGATGAGAATGACTGAGGGACAGCGATTCAAAAGAATCATAACTAATAACTGGTTTGGCATTAATCAATGATCCTGACTGAAAAATAAAAGCTACTCCTCCACTTCAGCCAGGTGTTCTAGAAACATGAAAATTTAAATAATTAACAGAAGTAGATTCATTTATACTAACAAAATCCTCCTGTTGTAGCCAGGTTTCTGTCAGACAGAATAAATCAATATGATGATCAGTTATCAGTTCATTAACAAACAGGGATTTAGAGGAAAGAGATCTGATGTTCAATAATCCACATTTAATGATTTTATGATTTTGCTTTGCTAAAGTAACTGTGTTTATTTTAATAAGATTTTTATGATTTATATTTTTAGAGCTGATATTTGGTTTATTTAATTTGAGCTGTGGGCAAGTTGACACTGTTTCATTGGGGGTGTGGGTGGGTAACAGAGGAGAAGCAGCAGAGAGGTGTGTGGAGGACTACAACTCTGCTTTCTGGACTGGACCCTGGGTTGTCAATAATTTGGGGGATAAACAAAATCACCCATATTTCTAGAAAGAAGAGCGGCTCCGTCCAAAGTGGGAATGGATGCCATCTCTCCGCATCAAACCAGGTTTTCCCCAAAAATAACTCCAGTTATCTATGTAGCCCACGTCGTTGTCAGAACACCACCTAGACACCCAGTGGTTAAACGATGACATACGACTAAACATGTCATCACTGGTCAGGTTGGGGAGGGGGCCAGAGAAAACTACGGAGTCCGACATGGTTTTAGCAAAGTCACACACTGAAGCAATATTAATTTTAGTGACCTCCAATTGACGTAACCGGGTGTCGTTACCGCTGACGTGAATAACAATGTGTTTAGCCTTAGCTTTAGTCAGCAGTTTCAGATAAGATTCTATGTCGCCCGCTCTGTCCCCCGGAATGCATGACCGCTGGAGTCCCTAAAGCCACGTTTCGGACTATGGAGCTGCCAATAACCAGGGTCTGCTTCTCAGCGGGTGTGTCACTGAACGAGGAAAATCGATAAGAAACGTGAATGGGTCGGTGGTGAACTGGGGGCTTAGCCTTAGCACTATGCTTGCTCCAGACCGTCACTCAGCCGGCCTGGGGTCCCGACTGCTCGGGGTCTGCTGGAGGACCACTAACGGGAGCTAGCCTCTGTGGTTCCACGATGTCTAAGGGGACCTGGCTAGCTACTGGTTTTTCTACAGCGCGGAACCGAGCTTCCAGTTCAGACAGCCTCTCCTCCAAAGCTACCATAAGGCTGCATTTGCTACATGTATCATTATCACTAAAGGAGGCAGAGGAGTAGCTAAACATCTGACATATGGAGCAAGTGAAAACAGAGGAAGCAGGGAGAGAAGCAGCAGCCATGCTAAGCTAATGCCAGCAAGAGCTAGCAGAGCTAAATACACCAATAAAAACCGAGAAGTGTTGAAAGATAAAAGGTGTTTTAAGCATTATCCAACAGTAGAAAAACAAGTGTACTAAGTGTGTTTGTGAGCTAGAATGACAAACTGTGCCAAAGACAGATAAATCCAGAAAGCAGAGACGACTCGAGCAAACAATTCACTCGAGCTACCAACAGACAAACAGGAAGTGACACAATACGTCTCACCACGAACATGCAACGTCACCAGTCAGAGAACAAGAAGAAAGATATATGGTAAGAAGTGAGTAAAACTTTAAAGTCAAAGTCATTTTATTGTCAAAAACTGCAACATACACAGGATTGAAATTACATTACTCTCAGACCCTGGTGCAACAATAATCAATCAACCTTTATTTAGACAGAACCATTTAACATTAAAACATTTAATAAACATAAGCATAAAATGAAATGATAAAACTGTTGTATAAACAAGAATAAAATGACTGAAGTAAGAAACTATGATTCAGCAAGGACAAAAAAGACCAACAGACAGAGAATGGATGCTGTTTCAACTGTATCTGTACCTCACCTTTTATCTAAGAGGAGGAAGGCTAATGTTATAAAACAGATGTTGCCTGAGCAGAAATATGAAAGACTTTGAAGAAGTAAGGTTTGCAGTCACACCTGATAGTTTGTGTCCCCACAGATGTAGCTGGTTTTATCCACCACTGATGTTCTGTTGTTCTGTAAGAAAGAGCGACATTCACAAAGTAGCTACTTCAGGTTGACACTGTGACAGGCGTCCATAGCCTCGAGGCGTCCATGGCCTACAGGCCACAGCTCCAGGAGGCTGCAGCTGCAATAGAGGCCCTGAACATGGCCCATTCATACGCCACGCCCTCAACTTCCCCTGGGACGTGTGAAACACTCTCCCACAGGTGGAGGTGGAAGATCTCAAGGACAGGAGGTTCTGCCAAGTTCACCCTCACTACTTGTTTGGGTTAACCAGGTCAGTTTGGCAGCATCCCTCCCATGAGATCCATCTCACCACCAGGTGGTGATGGTGACAGCTCTTGTCCAAGACATAGAGTGTTAGGTTTAATTTGACAATTAAAAAACGTCATTTGGCCTAAGTTGCCCTGTTACCAAGCACACTACACCTCTATGTTTAAGGACTGTGTTTGTTATGGACAGCTCATGCAATGCACACAAGTCCAGTAGCAGAACACCACATGGATTGAACCCTCACTCAAGTGTAGGTTAAAGAAAGAGTAGTGTGGTTATTTGAGCTATATTTTGATTTCCAATTATACATTAATAATATTAATTAGTAGTAGTTTGAATTTGAGGATATTTACCTGCTAGGCTACTGAGTGGAGAATGTGGTTCACTCCTGATACTTTAATGTGTACAAGAAACCTATAAATGGTAAATGGACTGTATTTATAAAGCGCCTTTTTATCTTATTTCAAGATACTCAAAGCGCTTTACACTACAATCTGTGTCCTCATTTACCCATTCATACAGCACTCTACTAGATCTCTACAAAGCTAATTGAACATATCATTTTAATGAGACTAATCAGTGCGTTAGATAACATTCATACACTAATGGGACACACATCAGAGGCAACGAGGGGTTCAGTGTCTTGCCCAGAGACACTTCAGCATGTGACTGCTGGTGGATTCAATCTCCAAACTCTCACATTGGAGGACGACTGCTCAAACCACTCAGCCAGAGCCGCCCCAGAAAAAATAATAATAAAAAAAAAATCAACATCTCCATAGGGGCCATGTATCAAACTGTATTCTTGGCTGTGCGCATTATTTTACTCATCCTTGCCCTCATCACGCCCATCACTGCTCTTTTTGTACCTATTACGGCAGCTGCCCCCACCTTTATGGCTTATTCTTATGAAACACTTTAGAAGTGAAGGCAGGCAGATTTGAACATCCATCCATCTTCTACCACTTATCCGTAGTTGGGTCACAGAGGCAACAGATCCAGGAGAGAAACCCAGACACCCATCTCCCCGCAACACTTTCCAGCTCATTCTGGGGGACCCTGAGACGTTCCCAGGCCAGAGAAGATGCACCATCCAATGACTTCTGGGTCTTCCCCAGGGCCTCCTACCAGTTGGACGTTCCTGGAAAGCCTCTAAAGGGAGACAATGAGGCATCCTAATCAGATGCCTGGACCACCTCAACTGACTCCTTTCGATGTGGTGAAGCAGCAGCTCTACTCTGAGCTCCCCCCAGATGATGGAGCTCGTCAGCATATCTCTAAGTCTGAGCCTGGCCACTCTGCGAAGGAAGCCCATTTCAGCCGCTTGTGTCTGGGATCTCGTTCTTTTTGTCATGATCCAAACCTCATGACCAGAGGTGAGGGTAGGAACGTAGACAGACCAGTAAATCAAGAGCTTTGCCTTTTGACTCAGCTCGCTCTTTACTTCGACTGACCAAAACAATGCCCTCATTACTGAGGACGAGGCCTCAGTCCGTCAACCCTTCTCCCGCTCCATCCTACCATCACTCATGAAGATGCCCAGATGCTTGAACTCCTCCAGCTGCGAACCACCTCAGTGCACGCTGAAGGTCTTGGCTTGAAAATGGCAACAGAAACACATCATCCACATAAAGCAGAGACAAGACCCTGAGTTTCCCAAACCGGACACCCTCCTCTTCATGACTACACCTGGAGGTTCTGTCCATGAACAGCACAAACAGAGTCAGCGACAAGGGACAGCCCTGGTGGAATCCTTCCTGCACCAAAAACAAGCTCAACTTTGTACCAAGAATGCACATACAGCTCCTGCTTTGGCTCTACAGAGACTGGATAGCTCTAAAAAAAAAAAAAAAATCCAGGCACCCCATACTCCTGCAGCACCCCTCACAGAATGCCTCGAGAAATACGGTCTTCAGTTTTCTCCAGATCTCCAAACTGCAACTGTACCTCTGTAGTTGTCCACCTGGTCAGGGAAAATATCTGACAACAATACTTCTCTTCAAAGAGAAGTATTGTTCTATAATCTGACTCTTTCTGATTCACTGTTCATGTCCTTCAGTGATGGGGTATCTGCGTATCTCCTGCAATAATTCATGCTCATTGAGTTCACATGCTTCATCAGCATTCCACGTTCTTTTTGTGCCATTTTTTTTTAATGTTGTCTTTTATTGTTTGTATGTTTCATTTCCAGACAGGCCATATATGATGCATTTAACAGATTTTACCTGAAGTATCCAGACCTGCAGTAAAGATGGGAGCGTCGTACAAACACCAAGTCCAGCGATGGGTAGAAGAAGAAGCTATCCAGCCTCACCATGTAGACGGCAGTTGAGCTCTCTGAGACGTGACCTGTCAGATTTTCAACTGAGGCAGCTGAGCACAGTCACTTTATTCTTAGCTTCACACATTTCCAACCTCTGCATGAACATGGTGAGCACCCAGCTTCACCCAAACTGTTTCTGGGTGTCAAAGAGCACTCTGGCCTTATTTTGATAAACTAGTGGGGTTGGACAACAGCGCTGCATGATCTCTTGATCTTTTAATTTTGATTTTATTGATTGGATCAATACTAGTGTGTGATTAGTCTTCCTAACAAGAACAAAACTGTGTGAATGATAGTCATGACTGAAAATTTTTACCGAAGAGTTTTCACTTATGCAGTACTGATGGAAAATTTACCTTTTGCTAAAGAATAAGAAAAAAATCAACTGACTTCCCATTTGTGATTTTGATAAATAATAAAGCACCATCGAAACCCTGACTTGTCCTGGATTGTTGATATCTGACATTTAGAAGAAGCAAATGTTACATTTAAAAATATATTCTCAATGGGCTACAGCTATCTGTTGAATTGACCAAATATGTTATTAGCAACAGAGCATGAATGATAATACTGTTATAGATAACTGTTTATGATATATTGCCATCCTTTGTGGTGCTTATTTTGTGCTCACTGATAATGTGATAATATTGAGTAGCCCTTTAGGAGACTAGATGACGACAAGAGAATTTTTCTGTTGCAGTCTCACTGAATTGTTATGGTGACCAGGCTGTGCTAAAGGATTCAATTCAAGGTTCTTTATTTGTCATTCGCACCACGTGGTACATGTGGTGGAATGACAACAAAAGTATTAAAATGTAAAAGAAAAACTAATAAGATCTAAGATATGAACTAAAAAAACATTAGATAATACACTAAGCACTAATAGTATAAACACAATACGCCAAACAGCAGCACGAACATGAGTCTGTGTGAGCAGACTGTGTGATGCATGAACACAGCAACATGAAACAGATCAGCAGTAACATGAAACATATCAACAGCAACATTATGTGATTTTTCACAGTGATTATCCTGGTTAGATTCGAGTCGAACGGCCTCAGGGTAGAAGCTGTTCCTATACCATACCACTTTATTTATAAAGCACTTAAAACAGCTACAAGGCCAACCAAAGTGCTGTACAGACAGAACAACAGGTAACACACAAAGCAAAATACAAAATGAGGTAAATCAGAATATAGACAAAAAAACGATGCAGATAATGACGACTAACCAGTGTGGAGCATACAGGATCAAAACACAGATCATCTTGTGTTGAAAGCTATTGAATAGTAGTGAGTTTTTAAACAGGACTTGAAAACCGAGAGGGAGGGGGCATGTCTGACAAGCAGAGGTGTTGGCGTTGACATCTTAAGGGTAGGAAAGTCGGACAATGAAGGTACTCACTGCTTTATCTTCATCGTGAGAAAGACACCTCACACCTTTATTCTTGGTAAAACAAATCAGTCAGAGGGCAATACAATCAAGTGCACCTGACGCATCTTAAATAGTCGCAGCAATGACGTCAGTGAAGAGCACACAATCACAAACACACTTGTCAAATGTTAACAAGAGGTAACTCGTTCCAGTCTTGGTCCTGCTACAGAGAAGGCCCTGTCACCTCTGCGCTTAAGACGAGTTCCTGGAACTATGAGGAGCAACTGGTCCGCTGACCTCAGGGAGCGTGGTGGGACATACGGTTGGAGCAGATCAGAGAGATGGGGGGGGGGGGGGGGGGCAACACTGTTCAGTGATTTGTAGACATACATGAGAATTTTGAACTGGATTCGAAATTGAACCGGTAACCAGTGCAGTGAGGCCAAAACTGGTGTGATGTGCTCTCTTTTGCATGTACTGGTTAAAAATCGGGCTGCTACATTCTGGACCAGTTGCAGTCGTGCAATGGAGGTCTGAATGATACTAAACAGGAGTGAATTGCAGTTATCAAGCCTAGATGTAATGAATGCATGTAATACTGTCTCCAGGTTATTTTAGGACAATATGGGCTTCAGTTTAGACAGCCGCCTCAGTTGGAAGAAGCATGATTTAACGATCATGTTTACATGATTGTTAAGCTTCAGGGAAGGGTCCATTATCACGCCCAGATTAGTGACTCTTTGTTTTTCTGACAGGGTTAGAGCGGAAAAGTCAATGCAGTGGTTTGTGATTGTGTCGTTGGGAGGGAACAACATGACTTCAAACTTCTTTTCATTGAAACTTAAGAAGTTTAAAGTCATCCAGTCCCTGATGTCAGCCAGGCAGTTGAACAGCGGTTGAATAGAGCATGTACCATTGTGTCTTAGGGGAAAGTAAATTTGACAGTCATCGGCATAGAAGTGGAAGGGCATGTTGTGTTTCCGGAAAATAGCACCAAGCGGCAGCAGGTATAAAGAGAATAGGAGGGGACCCAGGATGGACCCCTGCGGAACCCCCCATTTAAGCTCTGCCTCTGCGGAACTAAAATCCTTGATGGAGACACAAAAGGTCTGTCAGTGAGGTAAGATCTGAACCAATTGAGGGCTGATCCTGTGACGCCCACCCACTGCTCCAACCTAGCAATGAGGATCTCATGGTCGATGGTGTCAAAGGCGGCTGTGAGGTCCAACAGGACAAGCAGCACAGAATCACTGGTATCTGAAGATGTCGTTAAAGACCTTCAGCAGGGCAGTTTCAGTGCTATGGACAGGTTTAAAGCCAGATTGGAATAGCTCTAAGATGGCGTGATCCTCCAGGAAGCACTTCAACTGGGACTCGACTATTTTCTCCAGTACTTTAGAAACAAATGGAAGTTTGGAGACAGGCCGGTAGTTGGAAACGACTGAGGGGTCAAGGTTTGTTTTTTTCAGGAGAGGCTGGACAGCAGCATGTTTAAAGGATTTTGGCACCACGCCAGTGGATAAACTATCAATCAACCTTTATTTAGACAGGTAAATCCCATTGAGCCTCGAGGACTCATTTACAAGAGAGACCTGATTTCAACAAAGAAAGATGACAACAATGGACAACAGCAACAACAATAAACAATTATAAAAAGTCATACTGCAGGTTTTCTTTTTTTTTTAACAAATAGGATGGCTAAAAGGAAAAGGTAACAAAACAAAAAAACAAACAACAAAAAAAAAACAGCTAGATTCTAAGGTGAATGTAGAAAACTAAAAACTACTGTTTACTATGGCAAGAATGGACGGACCTAGAATTGGAATCACCTCCTTTAGCAGTCGAGGGGGGACCACATCAAAGGGGGAGCCAGAAGGTTTCAAGTTGCACATGACCTGCTCTAGAGAAGATAGAGTGATGGGTTCAAAATGGTCAAAAGGAGCTACAGATTGAGGTGGGATGGATGGGTCATGAGTTGGAGGGGAAATGAGAGCCCTGGTGGTCGCGTTTTTCCAAAAATAAATGTAAGAGGTTGTCGCACAGCTCAGTCGAGGCTTCCATAGGTGATGGTTCAGTGAGGTGGAGAACAGAGTTTAGGGTGGAGAAGAGGACACGTGGGTTGTGAGAGTTTGAGGTAATTATATCAGAGAAGTATTTGGATTTAGCAGCTTTCACTGCTTTCTGATAACGGCGCCAACTCTCTTTAAGTATTTGAAGAGACCTGCAGCCTGTCTTTCCTCCACTTTCATTCCACCCTTCTACATTGCTGCCTAACGGTCTTGGTGACGTCACTCAGCCAAGGTTCTGCTTTGATTTTTGATTTTTTTGGTTTTAACAGTTGCGACATGATCCATAGTCTTTAAGCAGACAGAGTTGAACTGGGATGTCAGCTCCTCAGTGGTGGTGAGAAACACTGGGGCCTGAATGATCATTTCAGAGTTATAAACATCTGTGAAACGTGCGGAAGTGAAGTGGTTAATGGTCCGGTTGCGACGTGCAGGAATGCATGACTTAGGAGTTAGATGGGGGAGGGTGAACTCAAACCGGACTGGCATGTGGTCTGAAAAAACATTATCACCAATAACAAGATTATTAACAGCCATATCAAGGTCCAATGTATGTCCACGCTCTTGGGTGGGACCGTTTACGTGTTGAGTTAAATGAGTCCAATAAATCTAAAAAGTCCTTAACCAAGAGCTTCTCAGGACAGCACACGTGCAAATTAAAGTCCCCAATAATGAAAAGATGCTCATATTTTGGTGTGATTTTAGCCAAGAAGTCAGAAAACTCATTTATGAAGTCCTTAGATCGAGGTGGGCGGTAGACGAGTGCAAATAACGTTGCAGGTGAATGTCCGAGTTCAAAGACGCTCAGCTCAAAGCTGGCGTGGGAAACTGGGATGGGCAGTTGTTTATAGTCAAAAGTTGATTTGAATATTGTTAATAATCCACCACCGCACCGGCCTTGTGGCCGCGGGGCGTTAAAACACAGACAGTTCGGTGGCAGTAATTCCGTCAAGGCGCTGGACTCACCCGGAGACATCCAAGTCTCTGTGATGCACAGAAAGTCCAGATCGTGCTCTTGAAAGTAGTCCCTGAGGATAAAAGTTTTGTTGGTAACAGATCTTGCGTTGACCAAACACATCCGGATACTGTCCAAAGTGGAGCCAGCAGCGGTGGAGTTAGCGCGCGCTAATGGCCGCAGGTTTTCAATAACAGCCCCTCCAGGTCGGTCCAAGTTGCGCAACGGCTGACAACTCCCGCTAGTTACCTGGTCCGGGCATGCGGGAAGCTGGAGATGGAGACCATGACCGCTAGCTGGAGAGGAAGATGCAGCGCGCAGAGCTTTCAGCTTCACCAGCTGACCAGCACATTTTCCCTGGCGTCTGAAGCGAGATATCCGGGCAGGCAGGTGAGGAGTGCAGCAGAGGTAAGCTGGCACGTCTGCCAGCAGGAGGGGGGGGGGGGGGGTCCAGAGGTACGCTGATAATGATCCAGATAAGAAACATCAGTGCCAGAAAAACGAAGATTCAAAAGTTGTTGTCTGTCATACACCAGCA